GGACATAGCTCGAGATCGAGTATCAAAATTTCGAGTTTTTTTCGACTCGATTCGTTTATAACTCTAACTTCAATTGCTTAAGTGTAGATTTGGTAAAAGTTCTAAATGAAATTATTTCTTGATGCATAAAGCAAATACATATATGTATAAAGAACAAAATATATATTGTTGTATATAAGTAATTGTTTCATTAATTGCTGCCAAACCCCATCTGGCCTAACTCCATAGCCAAAAAGCTGCCCATTTTTATTCCTAATGAACATGAAAGAATAATAATGATGTACACTTGAACCAAATTTTATTAAAAATGACATCTGTTTATACCTAATTACAAGTCAAATAAAAAGAAAAAAAAATAAAAGGAATAAAATAAAAGTAATTATAGGACCACCTCATTAGAAAAAAGAAACTTTATAAGTACGATTTTATATATATTATTATATTATACTGCAGCACACGCGTGCCTTAATAAAAAATACAAGTTTGGGAATAAAATGATCTAATTAATTAACTAAAAGATGTGTTTGGAATATTTCTACTTAACGTCATCTACTTTATATTATATTATTTTAGTGACATAAAAAAATTGAAATGAAAATGATGAATATTTGAATAAAAAAATATTTGAAAGAAAAACCAAATATAATAATTATGATGTATATACATATAATAAATACTTGAATCGTATACGCTACGCCAAAAATTGTGTACTATCAAATTGAGACAAATTATTTTTCAAACCCGAGTCGTGTTGATACGATGACGTCGAATATTGACATTCACCCAACTCGAGTATTATAATTAAAAAGAAAAAAAAAAAGGTATTTATTGTATGAAAAATTAAATTAATGAAATTATAGAACAACCAATTAAATTGCACGAAAGTCACAAAACAGTTAGAAAGTCACATGAATTGCATGAATAATGCTCAAATGCAAGGACTGAAAAAAAAGGAAGAAAAAGTACAGGGGCATTTATGAAACACCTCATAGTTTTTGAGGGGTTAAACCAAAGTACTCAACAGCTAGACCTGATGCCTTTAAAGGGACCAAATAATAAACCAGCTACCAAACTTATACTAGAATTTAATAAAGAATCTTATATTAGGTATTATTTTACTACTACTTTTTGTTACCCTTATTTTCTTTGTCAAATTTGTGTGAATAATTCGAACCGACATCGTATTTTCGTGTTATCCATATTATCTGATAAAAAATATAATACAATATATTTTTATTTTGTATTTTGTTTACTTTTTGTTTCTGGTGAGATCGTGTTGAGTGGTATTTTTCAATCATGTTAAATCGTGTTGAGTGTTTTGTATTATCAGTTATCTGTTTCTTATATGGTATCAGAGCGAATTCTATGTGGGATCGTGCGATGACGTACCCGTTTATTCGGCACGTTTCCAATAAGGCTTAGGCACTCGACTTCGTATTATGAGCTTGAGCTTTCTTATAAAGAATGACTCACAAGTGAAGAAGACATATTAGAATATTCACTTGTGAGTTTTCCACATCGTTTATATAGGGAAAACAGACCCAATTTATATGTCTAATGAGCTATACTTTCTTCCACCAATTAGTTGTGGGATGAAACCTCACTGGAGCTTTATTTGGGTTTTCACTGTCTTGGTGCGTTTTATCTGCGTGGAACCCTACTCGTTTTTTTTCCCCATTTCTTACATGTATGATTGAGTCATTGACACACTAAATAATATTTTTGTGCATGTATTTGGAATACCTTGTTTAATTAATTTGTCAATCCCTAGGGTAACTAACTATATGGGCCGGCCGGGTCTCCTCCATATTTATGTCATGTTCAATTCCTAATTTTAAATTTGTTTCAACTGTGACCGAGATCAGGCAAAATCAATGAATTATTTATATTAATAAAAAATGGCCATCCCCTCACAACTCATCAAAATGTAAATAATCTAAGCAAGGAAATGTATAGGAACTTTCCTTATCTTTTGTTATAATAAAAAGATAAATACTACTTACTTAGGTCAATGCCCTTATTTTCTGGCATAAGAAGATGATCATATAATGCAAATTTTAATTAAATTTGAGCTTATTCTCATATTTTTCGATCAAATAAGAAGATAAGACAAAATATGATCATAATAAAATACCAATAAAAACATGACATTATTGACCTTATTTTCTGGCATAGAAGATGATCATATAATGCAAATTTTAATTAAATTTGAGCTTACTGTCATATTTTTCGATCAAATAAGAAGATAAGATAAAATATGATCATAAAATACCAATAAAAACATGACATTACCAGTTGCCCAACAATATTACTTAATTATTCAACTATTTGGATAATCAGAAATGCTATGGCGCAATCAGATGGTTCCTTTATGGAGTCATTTATAACTTTATGTATTGACACGTGTTCAATGTGTATTTATTGCATGACATGTGTCAATACACTATCTGTAGATAACTATGGATGATTTCATAAGCCGAACTATCCGATGGCTCCACAGCAAAACCGTTTGGATAATACAAGAAACAACCAAACTTACTTTTTTAATGATTTTGACTTGTGAGATAATTTTAAAAATATGATGATCATATAATCATATTATACCGTGTACGCACCAATTTTTTCAGTTTTGTTTTGGTAAATTGAAACAATCAAAACACCGGCTATATGCCTGCATATACATTTCGAGATAAATATATTTAAACCTTAATAATCAAAATTTTAAGTAGAATATTTGTTAAATATATATATTTAAAAATTAAAACACTAAAACTCACGTACATGTTTTATGGTTAGACAACATATTTTTTAGTACGTGTATACTTTCAAACGTACATATTACTAGTATTCGACTTTATGTATTTGAACAGATGTAAATAAAGTTTTATAACTTATTTGTATGCACATAATATCAAAATTATAAGTTATAATGTTATTATATTTTAAATATAGAGTATTATAAGTTATATTTATGATTATAATATTAAAACTATAAGTTAGATAAAGATATTATGTTTTTCAATTCGATAATTGATTAAAATGAATAGTACATAACGATTTAATTTCATATGATTCACTATATTGATTTGAATAACTATATTGATTGTATAAAATATAATAAATAATGTAATATTTATAATTTTGAGTGATCAAGAACGATTAATTAGCTAACAGTATTACATTTAGTTAAACTTGAGTATGAATTAGTTTAAACACACTCGTAGACTTGATTTTTTAAGCTATTTTATAATATAAACTAGTACACATCCCATGCGATGCACGGACAGACTTGTTACTTAAACCTTTTTAAAACTTTATCTTAAACATAATTATTTATATTTGACATCTAATTATTTCAAGAAAAGAAATACAATATGAAATATTATTTGTTATTTATTTGAATATAGTGAATTTATGAACCAAACAAATTACACCCAACACGTGATATATTACAAAATTAATTATATGAATCCTTATAGTTATACAAAAATAATATATATATCTATAATAATATAAGACACTTAAGATTCGCATTAAAATTTATAATTTGGATTTGAGATGAAAAATGGATGTGTACAAAAACGACAAAAAAATAGGTACTGATCCACATAATATGAGATTCTTTATAAATTTTAAAAGATTTGTGGTTAGATAAATGTGTACAACTAAATCATCTATTAAGTTGAACACGAAATATAAAAGTTAATTTTCAAAATTAACATTCTTTATTAAATAAATACGAATTTTAGTTGTGACCATAAAATATGAGATTTGTAGATATATAAATATAGATAAAAAAAAAATATTTAACAGTTAAAAGTTAGCATGACTTATTAGAAATATTTTAAACGTTTTATTCGTTAAATGATTGACCAGATTTTTGTAACCAAATTTACATATTTGACTGAAAAAAATGTAAGGAAATGATTAATCATATTTTTTGGAAGCAAAATTTTAAGATTCTTTCTCATCAATGGTCGATTTAGCTGTAGCATTTAAGGAAATTATTGCCCATATAAGTTTACACAATCTATATCTATATCTATATATATATAAAAAGATTTACCATTTTTTAAAAATAGCAGGTCAAATTTTGATCAAAATCATTTTGCATTAATTACATTCAATTCTTAGTAACTTTTATTTTTATTTTTTTTTTTTTTAATAAAAAAAGTAGCATTAAATGATACCCATTAATTAAGGGTTTTGTTATTTTGGTTTTCAACAAAACAATGAATGTTGCCTATTATTTGGGGATGATGTTGTTTTATTTTTAAAAATCATGTTTAATAAAGGAAATAACTATATATTACCCTAAATTGCAGGATAATTAAATTATCTTGCTTCGCGTCTTACTTGCTTAATAAATTAATTAGTGCTGATTTAATATTCAACTGGTCAAACTTTTTTTTTCCAAATTAAAAATAAATATGTATAACCGATTAAAAAAAAAATTAAATATGTATAGATAATATATTAATTACTTTACAAGCTAGCCCTAATATACAAGTGAAAAATATATGATAACCCTATTGATTTTTAGACTTAAACGAAATAACATTATTTTATTTAAATGTGAATTCAAATCTTCATTAGTCGTTATTTTCCAAACAAAAATAAAAAAATACTAAAAATATTAAGCAAAACTTTAAATATTATTTCAAGCATATTATAGATAATAATAATAATAATAATAATAATAATAATAATAATAATAATAATAATAATAAAATCTTTAGCCCACGATCTTAAAACCCCCTCAACCCCACTCCCCCCGGAAGCCTTTTTCCTTTTAGTCGTCATCTTCATACTAAAGTTACCAATATCGTTTTCCCCTTTTCTTCTTCTTCTTCTTCTGTAAAACTGTGTATCCAGCTAATAGATACACGCGCATATACGTTTCATCGCATATCGGAAACACGACAAAGAGTATACGCACGCCTTGAATTTCGTGCCATGGCCGTGTAAGGACCGGCGATTCGAGCGCCGCCGATCAAGGTATGGGCCTGTGTTTCTCGCGCGGCGATGCGACGCCACCGAAGAGGAGGAAGTCCAAGCGAATCACGAATCAGTCGGCGGACGGCAGCTTGGGGAGCAGCCGGTGGGCGAGGAGTCGGTCGTCGAGGAAGGAGGAGAACCTGATCCACGAGCGGGCCCTGGCGGCGGCGATTCTCTTCCAGCAGCAGATGCAGGGCGGGGGAGGGGTGGCGGCGCCGTTTGATAGGTCGACCTCGTTGAGGTATCCGAACGGGAACTCGAGGAGGAGCCACGGGTTGCCTCGGAGCTCGAGCACTAGGGCGCGGTCGCTTACTGATCCTCTGCTTCAGCCTCACCAGCTTGTTAGTCAGGTATTGTTATGGGAAATTTCACCTGTTTGTGGCGTTTTTGGTTCATATTCGTTGTGTTTTAGTGGGTTTGGTTCGTTTGTTTTGTTAATATTTTTGAAATTGTGATTAGTTTGCTGGTAATTGATCTTTTTCACGATGATTGAGTTTATCTGTAATGTTGAAACGTCCATGATCGAGTTTGTCTGTAAAGTTGAGAAAATGTCAGGTCGAAAATGTCAGGTCGGTGGAAGGCTGGAAATACGGGTGATTGGAGTAGTGGAGGGAAGTTTGGTTATGGGAAATTTCACCTGTTTGTGGCGTTTTTGGTTCATATTCGTTGTGTTTTAGTGGGTTTGGTTCGTTTGTTTTGTTAATATTTTTTGAAATTGTGATTAGTTTGCTGGTAATTGATCTTTTTCACGATGATTGAGTTTATCTGTAATGTTGAAACGTAGATGATCGAGTTTGTCTGTAAAGTTGAGAAAATGTCAGGTCGGTGGAAGGCTGGAAATACTGGTGATTGGAGTAGTGGAGGGAAGTTTGGTTGAAGCTTGGTGTTGGTTTGTTTATGGATATTTGAATTTATATGTTAAAAATAAAAGATCATTTGATTATTAGTTGAATTGGGTGAATGATAAAATTGAATAATTATAAACCTGCATTGAGTTCTTATTCTTAATATTAAAATTTAGAGAATCAACTGAACCGAAGCTCTGAACTAGCAATGGTAATTTTGCATTCCGCCATTCACCACGGTTTTCTGAAGTCTTCAGAAACAAATAGAAGTAAACGACATGTTCACTTCTATTTGTTAGTAATGTTTTTATTTTTGGGTATATCATTCGACTCTGTTATTTTAATCGACTTGTTCAGTTTGGTGTTTGTTTGAGTAATTTTTCATTTTCTTGGTCCTGCTCTATGATTAAAACGGATGGTTGATGCTAGACGATATCTCACATCTATGATTGAGAAGTTGTTTGCTCTTTTCTGTTAAATATAATTGAAAATTCATGCTGTTTATTTAACAACTTATCATTCTGGACTTGTATTTGTTTTATTTTATTTATATTTATTTATTTTTTTTAACTTTTGGATTATCATTTATTTATTTTCATAATCAGGATTCTACCAAACTTGAGAATCTAGAGACCAACCATTTTGTACTTGTTCATGGTGGTGGATTTGGTGCCTGGTGCTGGTATAAAACTATTGCATTGTTGGAAGAAGTTGGATACAAAGTTACAGCTGTGGATTTGACTGGTTCAGGAATTCATTCTTGCGACTCAAACAGTATTGCAAGTCTTTCGCAGTATGCGAAGCCACTGACTGATTTTATGGAAAGCCTTACCAACGAGAAGGTTATATTTCCAGTTATTTCAATTTAGAACATTTTTTTTATTCTCTTCGCATTATTCTTTTTCGGTGTTGTGCATTTATATATATGTGTGAATGTGTCACTCAAATTTGGTATTATATTTATACATGTTACTTTTGAGGTCCTTGATGTAAATCATTAAATTCTATACTATCTTATCTTCAAATATTATTGTGGTGGATAGCTGTTGCATTTCACTCACTCAATAAATTTTCATCCTGAAAGGGAATTCATCAATTTAATTTTCCCCTTTACGGTTAATTCATTTACTTGCACCTTTACATTTAATTCATTTACTTGTGAATTCTTGGTCTGTAGTATATAAGAACTATTAAGTTATTAGCCTATTACAATAGTGCATTCAATTAGGAGCAAAATATAAGTTTTTTCCTCACTTTTCATCTCTTACATGCAGGTAATTTTAGTGGGGCATGATTTTGGTGGAGCGTGCATATCGTATGCTATGGAGATGTTTCCTTCTAAGGTTTCAAAAGCTGTTTTTCTTTCTGCGGCTATGTTGACGAGTGGACAGAGTACTCTTGACATTTTCTCCGAAAAAGTTAGTTTTCTAACCAAAACATATTAATACCCAATGGAATTTCTATACGAAGAGAAGTAAATTTATTTAGCAAGATAAACGTTTATGTTCTTCACTAATGATGCAGACTCCACATAAGCCTTTTAATCATATTTTATGCGTGATGATCTCTTTGCCAACACATCCTATGTTTTGAACTTTGAATTATGATTTAATTTTTTTTTTTTCTATGTTTAGTTTCTCTGAGTCAGTTATTAACTTCGGTTAAGGAAGCATTTTTTGCCGTTTTTTTTATCTATATTGTTGTAATGGTATTTTGATCCATTCAGGTTAACCCTTATGCTGCCACCTAAGCACGAAATCTGAACATGCAATCTCATATGTTTTGATTGGTTCATCGACAATCCAATAATTTTTCGAATTGTTAGGTTATCATATGACTTAATATAACTTCTGGTATGTCCAATATTCCAGGTGGAATCAAATAATCTAATGCAACGTGCACAGATTTTTCTTTACGCCAATGGGAACAATCAGTCACCAACTGCTATTGATTACGACAAATCTCTCTTGAGGGATCTGCTATTCAACCAAAGCCCGGCCAAGGTATGGCTTTGTACAAACAGCCCGAATAAAAATGGCCTCACTAATATATATACAAGCAGAAAATGAATCACAATGTCTACGATTTTCTTTTTTCTTAATTGACACTGAATGTAATTTTTTCAGTTGGTTCGAATTCTTAAATTCAAATTCCTTTTCTCAGGACATTGCATTAGCATCTGTCTCGATGAGGCCGATCCCATTTTCTCCAGTTTTAGAGAAGCTCTCTTTATCCGACACGAAACACGGTTCCGTGAGAAGGTTTTATATAGAAACGCTAGAAGACAATGCTATACCGCTTGCTGTACAGGAAGGCATGGTCAACAAAAGTCCACCCGAGGGGGTATTCCATCTCAAAGGTGCTGATCATGCGCCGTTTTTCTCGAAGCCTCAAGCCCTGCATAGACTCTTGGTGGAAATATCAAGGATCCCTTGAATCTTTCTATAAGTTGTGAACTCATTTATTCGCAAAGAAAGTGCTAACATCGTTCGAACATTATCGTAGATGTTTTTCGGCATCTTGAGATTAACTTGCTTCAGAGTACTTGTTCAAGTTGCATAGATAAGATTTATCACTTTTTTTCTTTTTTTCTTTCTTTCTTCCTTTCTATCAGGCTGTACGATTAATAGGTGTGGCTAATCAGTTATATCTGGAAATAAACGGCGTGTATAAATGTATGTTTACGCAAATTATACTTCTCTATCAGCTTCTTCTTATTGTATATTTTTGTTGAGAATTAATTGGGGTTTTTATTTTTATATATGTTTAATATTCCAGTGTTTTAACTTAAGTGGCTGCATAAAAAGAACTTGAATATAAAATAAGTTAGGGAGATGCTATAGTTCCGTTACGGAATCATGCATAATTCTGACGAAATGGTTTCGTAACGGGATAGTAACATTTCCAAAGAACAACTAACATCGCAGCCGTAGGCCCATACATTCAATTATTTTTGCCACTTGACGCGTTTCTTATTAGGAACTTCACAGGAAACACAATGGCAACTTCTACAAAAAAAACAACGTCCACATAATATTCAAAGTTCACTATGAAAATCAACTAAAATCGTTGACTACAAAAGTCAACACAAAAGAATACTGATAGATAATTCATTCATTCACAAGTTAACACCATTCCTCCTCAGCTCCCAAACACAACACAGAAACAGATTTATGAATATTCACTCATTCTTAATCCCTTCAATAATTTTCCATCTCCTCATAACATCCACTTACAGCAGTCATAATGTAGACCTTTCCACAGACGACGTATCGATTAACTGCGGCTCGACCGGCATTTTCCCGGCGCCCAACGGCCGGGAATGGATTGGGGACATCGCCAACCCGAAATCCGCTTCGTTTATGCAGATAAAAGGCCACTCGACAACCTCAGCGGCTACCGCAAAGTCGATATCCGGAGATTGGGTCCCTTACAGGTCGTCAAGAATTTCCCGTTCGCGATTCGTGTACTCGTTTCACGTGGGGCCGGGCCCGAAAGTCCTCCGCTTTCACTTCTACCCGGCCCAATACAAAGGCTTCAAAGGACTCGAGGACTTGTTCACGGTCCAAGCCGGCCCATTTACCTTGCTCGGCAACTTCAGTGCCTCGCTCGCCGCACGTGCCCTCGGAGTGAAATCTTTCGCGAAAGAATTCTGTTTGTTCATACACAAAAACGAGCAGTTTAACGTAAGCTTTACTCCAGAAAGTGCTCGGTCACCGGACTCATATGCGTTTGTGAACGGGATCGAGATTATATCCGTGCCGGAAAATGTATCCTATTTTCACAATGGAGACGTCGGAGTTCAAGCAGTCGGTCGAAAGTCCCTTGTCCACATAGACCGCCACACGACACTCGAGTTAGTCCACCGGCTAAATATTATCAAAGAAAGTTCCGTGCCGGCCGGTGGAGATCTTGACGACACGTTTCCAATGTGGGATTTGCGACGAGCCGAAAAGGTGAAAAACCGAACGTGGAAAGTACCGGTCGATGTGGGATTCAGGTACATGATCAGACTTCATATCTCACAAATGGGACTCAAGATTATTGCAAGGACAAGTGATTATAAAGTCCTCATCAACGAAGCAATTGCTCTCACGAATATCGACTTAGAAAACGAACCTAGAAACGACTGGAAAAGGTATTATTACAAGGACTACCTAGTGACAATGAGGGGGCATAAAGAAGAAGGAAAACGTCGTATCTCGATTTCTCTGCATTCCCTAGACGAGCTCACGGTCGGGCTTCAACTTCTATCTGGGTTCGAAATATTCAAACTTACGAACCCAGACAATAGTCTCGCAAGCCCAAATCCCTTTCCTCCACCAACTCAAAATCCATCGTCCAAAACCACCCGCATTTTCTCCTCGACCTTCCGCAGCAGGAACGCATTTTCGTTTGCGGCCTTACTCGTAATTTCCATAGCGAACATCATCGCGTACAAACTACGTGAGAACTTGGAAGCTTATAACTTAGCTCGGGAGTCGGACAACAACAACAACAAGCCTTCAGCCAAAGCCGAACGGCTCTGCCGCTGTTTTTCGCTCGTCGAGATGCAATTCGCCACGCAGGACTTCAACAGCGGGCTCATAATCGGGAGGGGCGGATTCGGAAAAGTCTACAAGGGCATCATCATCATCGATAGAGGATGCCGAAAGTCGGTCGCCATCAAGAGGCTAAAACCAAACTCCAGCCAGGGGGCCCACGAGTTCCTGATGGAAATTGAGACGCTGTCCGAGCTTCGTCACGCGAATCTAGTTTCTCTAATCGGCTACTGCAACGAACACAGGGAGATGATTCTCGTGTACGATTATATGCCTGGTGGCACGCTAGCCGACCGTCTCTACAGGCTTCGGAGGATGAGTGGCAGCTGTCCACCTCTGAGCTGGAAGCAACGTCTCGAAATCTGCATCGGGGCAGGGCGCGGGCTCGACTATCTCCACACGGGCCACGGAATCATACACAGAGACGTGAAGAGTACTAACATCCTGCTCGACGAGAACTTGGTAGCTAAAGTTTCAGATTTCGGCCTGGCCAAACAGGAAGACATGAGCAAGCTGCAGAGCCACGTCAGCACACGGGTCAAGGGCACAAATGGGTACATGGACCCGCATTACCTCCACACACGTAAGCTGACTAGGAAAACCGACACGTACGCTTTCGGCGTGGTGCTTTTCGAATTGCTGACCGGGCGGCCTGCGGTGGATCTAAGCCTCGCGGAGGAAGAACACATTTTGACCATCTGGGCACGTGACAGAATAAACAAGGGAGAGGTGGAGCAGATTGTGGATTCGAGTCTAGAGGAGGAGATTTTGCCGGCAAGTCTGAAGACATTCGTGGGGATTTCTGAGAGGTGCTTGCGAGAGGACCCAAAGAGCCGGCCCACGATGTCTCAGGTCGTGCAGCAGCTTGAGCTAGCGCTCGAGCAGCAAGACAGTGGGCCCGAGTGCTTGGAGTCAAATGAGGTAACGAGTGTTGGTGAAGAAAGGAACTCGGCTAGCAATGGGCAATCACCAATGGCTGATCGACACATGGCGGATTTGGAACCTTCACGTGAAGAACAAACGAGAAGACAAGCGGTTACTACTACTGTGGTTCCACCTGCAAGAAGAGACGAGAGGAAACGCAAGCCGTTACGACTTTGGCCGTGGGATGCGTTTTGGAACAGAGTTAAACAGCCCAAGAAAACCAGTCCGTTATCGGGTATGGACGAAATAAAAGTCGACAAATTCATGAGAAATATTAACATATTTCCAATAACATATTTATGAAAAAATGCAGATATCGGGGATGAAGCGAACATAAGAGCGACCAAATACGACTGGGGTATGATTGCAGCTGCCACCGATCAGTTCTCTAGTAATCGCAAAATCGGACAAGGTGGATTTGGCTCTGTATATAAGGTGACTTTCTATACCGCTACGGTGATACCTCGTACTCTTTTTCCTTTGTGTGTACAAATGTACAATGCATTATGTTAATAAAATTTGTAACTGAAATGAAAAACCTATCATCCTGTAAAGGGAGTGTTGCCCACAGGACAGTTAGTTGCAGTCAAAAGGCTTAAAAATGATTCTACACAAGGCCTCATTGAATTCACGAAAGAGATTCATTACCTTCCGGATCTTCAGCATAGAAACATCATCAAGCTACTCGGCTATTGCAATCACCGAGAAGAAAAGCTGCTCGTGTATGAGTTCATGGAGAATGGAAGCGTGGATACTTACATAGGAGGTCAGAGGATTTCTGAATTGTTCTACTTATTTCATAATGCAACATTTTTTATTTGACACAAGCTTCGTCTAACTCAGATGAAGTCCAATGTGATCTTCTCCAATGGGAAGTACGATTCAAAATCATAAAAGGGATTGCTCGAGGACTTGTCTATCTCCATCAAGATTCGGGACTTAGGGTCATTCACAGGGACCCTAAGTTAAACAACATCTTACTAGACTCTGAGATGAATCCTAAAATCTCAGACTTTGGATTGGCCAGGACCTTAGCAGAAAGCGATTCTCAATCAGAGACCACCCGGGTAGCCGGGACCTAGTAAGTATCGGGTCCACGAACTCCATTTTTTTTTTCTTGGTTTTTATGTACTCTTATGTTTTTACAATCATCTCTATGTGCAGTGGGTATATTGCTCCGGAACTCTTCTTGACCTCAAAATATTCAGTGAAAACCGACGTGTACTGCTTTGGGATCGTTATCATTGAAATCGTGAGCAGCAAGCGAGTGGTTAATTGGAGGAGAATGAACTCATATGCTTCGGGCGAAACCAAGAACTTTCGTGGCTACGTAAGTTTTGTTCTTGAGATGTTATGTGCATGGATGAGATAGAAGTAGAAAAAGTATGTTCTTATTTGTATTGCTATTTGCTCAATATTTCAATAAGGCATGGGAGCTTTGGAAAGAAGGGAGAGTGTGTGATCTGGTAGATGAAAGACTTGAAAGGGCTTATCCTGAGGAAGAGGCTCTAAGGTGCGTTCAAGTCGCCTTATTGTGCACCCAAACACTACCAAATCAAAGACCTGAAATGCGCACCGTGCTTAAAATGTTGGAGGCTGACGAGCCACTAGCCGACCCACAAGAGACGCCACCAGGCAATTTTCTATTAGCGAGGCAATATTCAACAGGCAGCAGCAGTGCTGCAACATATGAACTTGACGACACGCTTGAAAGATAGGTTTGTAAAATACTTGAAAAAAAAAAAAAAAAAAGAGAGAATGTGGAGAACGATTCTACTTTGTGTCTTTTTTCATGAAATTCGAAAACCTTCTCAAGCTAGTGAGTATGTATGGACTGAGATAGGAGTTTCAAAATCATCGAATGTTTGGTTTCCAAGATTTTTCACTAGCGTTTAACACTTTATAAAACTATATTTTGCAGTGGTTACATGAGTCTGGAATATGCTATGCACAGTCAGTTAAATCGCCGTGTACATTCTATATAATATAAATGTGAAATCGCTTCAATGATGCGCTCTATGCTTGGACTGTTGGGACATCACGAACATGTGTTACCCACAATAGTCATCTCCGATTGATGTTGGAATCACCATTTTTCTTGAAGATATGCAGTATCACTGCACGGTTTATAACGACTTTAATTTGCTTGATAATATGCAGGTTTATATCCAGAGGGAGTGTTAAACAAGAGTAATAAACAAGACCTTTAAAAACCTTACACCTAGGCATTACCTATACGTAAGTAACTTAAACCAATGGACTAAACAGAAAAGCCTTATGAATAGTTCAACCCAGAGCAGTCAGGATACTTTTGATCTTCAACAAAGATAGATAACCCAAGAATTAAAAAATGTTATGGATGTGAATAATAATTTACAAAGCGGATGAGATATGATACATGAAAGTCTTTCGGCCCTAGTAGTCAGACCTATTTACGACTTCATCAAATTTTGCAATGGTTGACCTCTGCGACCAACTAGAAATTCATAAAAAAAATCTACCGCAGAAGCTCATGTACGTATGAATGGACCAAACACCAAGTGCATTGACTTGAGAGAACACAGAAGAAGGCACTTAAGGAAGAAAAAAACACAGATCTTTAACTTAAATCTTGTTGAAAGACTTCCACAAAGGCTAGTGAAGTTTACTGGGGACCGAACACCAAGTGCATTGACTTGAGAAGTCACTTAGGAAAAAAAAAAAAAAAAAAAGAACCAAATCTTTAGCTTAAATCTTGTTAACATACTTACACAAAGGCTAGTGAAATTTACTGGGGTTAAGTCGGTGCTTAAACCAAGAAATTAATTGACAACTTGTGTATGTGTGCAAATATAATGGCAACAGCAAGGATACAGAAGTGCAATATATGGCTCGGCTTAAGTGGTAGAATAGATATTAAGTAACAGCACAGCAATACCAACAATGTCAGGTTTCGAAGCTGAGATAGCAACATCTATGCTCATTGGTGACACACAGATTTAGGTTGGTTCGAAAGCCAAACATAGCAACAACAAAGAATATGAAAAAAAAAACAAAAGCAAACCAAAAATGAGGATGAACTGCACATAATTCTGAAGAACGCTTTGAACAAATAGGAAAACTTTTAAGTGAATGTAGGGATCCAACTAATAGAGTAAATAACCTTTTAAACAGATCAATAACAAAGAAAACAAAAAAGAAAAAAATGAGGATGACTTGCGCATAATTCGGAAGAACACTTTGAAACAAAGAGGGAAACATTTAAAGTGGTTGTTAGGATCCAACTAATATAGTAAACAGCCTAGCTATGTTTGGTAAAACTAGCTGATAAGCTAGCATAGCTTATCAGTAATTTTTGAGCTTATAGCTTATAGCTAATAGCTTATGACTTATAGCTGAAAAACTAACTTATATGATAAAAGTGTTTGGCAAAATTAGCTAATAAGCTAGATGGAATAAAAAATTCAACTAGCTTATTTGAAAAGCTACCTAAATAAACTTATCAAATAAGCTCAAGAACGAGGCTTATTGGAATACAGAAAGCTTATAAGCAAATCAAATAAGCTATAAGCTAGCTTATTTGTGTACCAAACATAACCTAAATGGGTATGCATCAATGAAGAGCATTTCATTATTCAATCGTGGACCTTTCACGTATACCAAATAACAAGCAGGAGTGGAAAAGACTCCAATAAAACCACACAATACAGCCAGCAATTGCAATGCAAAGAAATAACATCTATTTCAACCCCAATTGCAAAATGAAATCCAACAATATGGTCAAGTGAACACCGCATTCGACGGCCAAAAAAAAGGGGACTCTCAAACTAAGACACATATCCATATATTCCGAAAACCGCAAATCATCAAATTCAAATCCCACGTCTACCAAAATAAAATAATAAAAATAATAATACCAAGGCACATTTCATGAACGCACAGCAAAACCAAATCCATCAAACACCCAGATGAACATTGACAGAAGACAAAACAACCCACGATTTTAGCTCAAAAAAAACCATTTCAATCTTTGAGCACAATTCAGCAATACTAAAAACCTAAAATTAAAGTCTAGCACAATAATAACCATAAAACTGGGCCACCCAATCCCACAAAGAGAAAATGAGGAACTCAGTTAAACAAAAACATTGCATAATGGAAAAAGGGGGGATAATGGAGACCAAGCATGATCAGAATCCAAGCTTGGTGCGGCGCCAGTGGCGGCGCTTGGCGTTGTAGCGGATGGTATTGTCGGTGCGCAGGCGGATCCAGTAAGGGATGGGCCTGTTCTGCCTCTGCTTCTTCGCGAGCTTCTTCTTTATCATGAATGTCTTGTGCGACGGCTGCAGATTCAACGGTTACACACAAAATAGATCAATGGGGCTTTTCATTATGCTCAAATTGAGAGAGAGAGATAGAGAGAGAGAGAGAGAGACGAACCATGGTGGAATTTCGGCGGTGGCGAGAGCTCTGCTCGTCTAGGGTTTGCGGCGCTGCTGCGAAATGGCGAAATTTACAGGCTCAGCTCAGGCGAATATAAACCCTAGTTGCTACATATACTAGTACTAGTCAATTTCCTCTTTCATTATTTAGTTTAACGGGCTTTATATGAAAAGAACCCAACGGGTCAATATTCTAAATTTTCAACAGTCCACTAATAGCTTAGTTCATTACAACACAGCCCAATTATAGAGTTAGATTAGTTAGCCCAAAACGACCTTCCTCCTATAAAAATACTAAAGAAGTATATAAAAATTTTAAATTGGTCCTATTATTTGACCAAAATCAAATTTTCACTTAGATAAAAAAGGGGAATTGACATTCTAAAATATGACATGGCGTGATTGTGGTTTATATAGCGAGATTAGGAAACGTTCACTTCAAAATAAAATATCCACATCAACCGTGCGTCTTGGTTGCAATGAACTTTTGATACTACAAAATAGTCCATAAAACTTACTAAATTTTCAAAGACGAACCCCTGTAGTCCCAAAAATTCCACCATCATTCGTTGGTTGTCGGTCGACCACCTCTGATCGAAAATATTTTTGCATCATCTTGAAGCTCTTATCTTCCTTGTTCACCTCCTAAATTTTCTGGCGAAAATTCCACATGTAAGACTGTCAATTGCTTTGCTCACATGTTTTAGATTTAGAAATTTTCAGTCAAAATCTGGTATATATTTTCAATTTTTTCGGCAATTCACGACAACCCACCAAGTTCTGATGACGCCTCCTGACTCCTCGTGGAACCGCGCACCCGACGATGTCCACCATCTTCCGAACCAGCGACTTTTTTCGGCGCCTTCACGTCTTCTTAAGGGCTGCAGCCCCCTCCGAACGCCTCCTACCCTTCATCCTCCCCACCCATGACGTAGCCTATGTCCTTTGTTGTACATCGCTCGAGTCGAGCATAACCTAATCACTCATGACGAGGATAGACCCCTCTTGTTCGAGCCCCCCCATCATCCTCTGCGACTCCATCTCTATCCAACGTCTTTTTGAGCTCGACCTGAGCTCCATCTTCGACAAGCGGCACGCTGTCAGAGCGACACCCAACCGCTGCGACTGGAGACGTCTTTGGCAACCAGACAATTGACAAGAGCAACAGACAATCGAGGTGTTGTGCGGGCCGAGGAAGTCTTCTCTGAACGAGAACGTGCAGGCTGCCGAAGGCTTGGATGTGGTTTGTGCGCTGGGGCTAAGGGCCGACGTCGGCCATGCGTTGACTGTCTGTTCATGGCAGTTGGATGTACGGGTTGCCGACGGCTGATCTGAACCAAGCAGGCTATGGGGAGACGAACATGAAGTTCTAGCTCAAGTTGTGCGCTCGGAGCTGGGTAACTTCCGGCAGGAGGGATAACTCACGGGCAATGGCCAGATAGTTTCGTGGATTGGTAAGGGTGACCAACGACGACATCATGTGGTCGGAAGGGCGCTGAATGCGAACTGCTGTGATAACTGGATCGAAGCTTTATGGCCGCGGGTTGTGGTCACGATTTTCGCAAGATGTCTGGCCGATTTTTGTTGATTGCGCCTGGTGGAGAATACACAGGACTGGAGCAGACGTCACAACCGAAATTGTAGACGAACATACTAGACTCATTAAGCAATATCACCGGCGAAATTTTGGGAAGACGATGCATAAGTTTCTGGTTTTTCGCATGAAGATCGAGTTCAATTTTGGTTGCCTACATGGCAAGTTATCATTGGTTGAAGTCCTTTTAGCAAAGAATTATTAAATTCACATGAAGTCGCCCCGACACTCCACGTCAAGTTTAAACACAGTCACATCATACAATGACATTTTTTTTATCCAAGGTACAGATAAAAATGAACCAAAATTGATTAAACTATCAGTTTATTGAACCTAGTTTAAAAGTGGACAACGAGAAATGAAAATTTATACATTGGTCAAATTATAAAGCCAATGTTTAATTTTTACCATAAAAGCAAATTAACCAACATATATGACTATACTGCTGAAGCACGTATGTTTATATGTTATGAGAACAATTTATATATTGGATTATAGAAAATAGTAAAATACACAGATCAATCTTTTATTACTCTTCCTAAGTCCTAACACATAATTTAGTATGGCCATTGGTAAATAATTAAATCTGACTGTGAGTGAGGTGACACCAATATTGAATCCATTCAAGATTAATGAATCACACTTTCACGTAGGCCATTTAAGATTAATGAATCACACTTGAAGTACAAATAATTAAACTTAGGTACAACTCAGCCCGACATAGAATTAATAATAATAATAACAGATAAAAGGACAAATAAAAAAATAAAAAATAAAAACGCAACATTAACTAGAGTGCAAGCATTGAGACCGCAACCAAACTCTCCTCGCCGGCCGCCGTAGGCCGCCCATGGATTACCCTCTCGTAGACCAGCCGGACGGCCCTCCGCCACCTCAGGTCGCCAGCGGGCCCCACGTTCGGCTCCCGGCCGAACACTATGAGGCCCACCTGAAAAAAGAAGAGCCCCACCGCATGCAACAAGTCGGTGCATCCCCCGCGAATAGGCCGGAAACTGAAGGACAATTTGAGCACGAACGTCCACATCAAGGCGGCGGCCGCGGGAGTTAGGCCGCCGTGGGCGGTGGCGATTATGCCGAGCTTTGCTATGGCCGCCATTGGCAAAGCCATGTGTATGTTTATATGTGGTTGCTTGATGTGTTGGAATTGTATATAAGGGACACAAGTATATGACAGTTTAATTTTGGCAAAATTGGGAGTTTGATTTGATTTTTTTTTTTTTAATATTACTAGTTAACTTGATATTTCATATCAAATGGGTACTAGAAACAATTCATGCTTTTTTGTTTCTTAATAATAATACTAGAAATGGATAAAATATTCTTTTCCAACTTGTACTATACGTATTTTATTTTATTTTATTTTATTTTTTTACGTTGGAAATTATAATATTTTTCGCAGTATAATATGCAATTTGTGCAATATCGTTAGTATCTTGAATATATGATCATTCACAAAAATAGATGTGTAGGGCAGATGAAGTTGCCGAATATGAATGCTCATAAATTTCAGGTTGTATTTTAATTTTTACCACGAAATATAATATAGGATGTCAAGTCGAAAAATACGAATATTACATGTATGTGGGAGTCAATGTTTTACCCAAAAAAAGAAAAAAAGTTTTATTTGGTAGTAATATGTCCTTGCAACAAATCTTGATTTTCGATTAATAGATGTGAGAAGACAAAATATGTGGCCCTTGTCACATTGCAGGAGGAAATTTCCTTGCAGCTTCATAGAAATTGGACTTACTGTAATATAGTATCTGTTAATAATATATAGGTCAGTATATTTTGTTCTCATTTGCCTTTTTCCTTGAGGCTTGAGGACAATATTTAACAACAGAAATTTCACGGAGTCCTCGGATGGCTCTATAAGTCGAGCTATCACTTGTGAATGATTATGAATGACTTCATAAGTCGAGTCATCTGATAGTTCCATAGCAATACCGTATCTAACAATATATAATGTATGATGATTTTACCCTAAAAAAATACGACTGAGTTCACTCACCTCGGACTCATTAAGTTTGACAAACAAATGCTGTATGGTTTCATTAGTAACAAGGATGACGAGTTTACCAACCTCTGACTCATTAAGATTGTCCATGAATAACTTTTTACAGTGTGTTTAATAGACAAAATTGAAAAGCTGACTAAAAATAATTTTTTTTCTCCTCAAAATTATAAGACTACAAAGGTATAAAAAGTTTATTCTACAAGAAACAAAATATATGAAAGACTATGCTTGAATATAAATGAAAATCCAAATATCCAATCACTTTTCACCAATCAT